TCCTGTCCTTTGTCCTGTTATCTTGCAGTGATAGAATGTAGGTGGGGAGACCCAAAAGGTGAGGGGCAGAGGGGCCAGAGGAGTAATCTTGGGCAGGAAGGGCCTGGGGCCGCTTTTGATTAGCAGCTCCCTATTTGCTGGGAGCTGTTTCATTAACATTTCTTTAGAATGGGCTCTGGGCCTTGGGAACTTTAACATTCCAAGTGCTGCTCTGCTTTCCCTGGCTCCATTCTCAACACGGCCTTCATTTTCGATTTTACTTGATATTAGACCCGATTTACCTAACTGCACTACCTACCTATCTTTCAATCTGGCTTCAGTAGTAGCTATGGAAAACAGACTAATACACTTTACAGGAAAAGAAAATGAGGCACAGGGAAATTAACTTACTCAAGATGGCAAGGTAAATGGTAGGATGAGGATTCCAACTGAGTAATCTAGATGCGGAGCCTGTATGTGATGTAGCTCTCAATACATCATGTGCTCCTCTCCCCCATTCGTCAGGTGAGTCATACAGAAAACAGGTAACTCTGAGAGGAAAGGATGTCCTGAAATGGAAACCAGTCATCCTGCTTTACCTCCATGGTGGGGATAACCGGTTTTTGATCTAAGCATATATATTTCAGATCATTCAATCATCTGTTCACTCTTTCATTCGTAAATAAGGACTCAAAAAGCTTCTTTTGTCTCTCACTGGGAAGAAGTTGGGGATAAGTAATAGAATACAGTTATTTCAAGGAGAAACTTATTTAATCCTCCTCATCATCTTACAAATGGATGATGGCTTATCACCATTGTGTTGATAACCTGAAGCTCTGAAAAACCAATTGCCAGTGATCCTAAAACTTGCATGTGATGGTGCCTTGTCAGTGTCTACACACCTGAAGTCAGTGTCATACACCTGCAGTGGGGGCGAGCAGGAGAGGGGGATGGAAGATCTGTGTTCTACAGATCTTCCAATCACCTTGATATCCCATGAAACAGTAGTGAACTATTAGCAACAAGTACAGCATAAAAACAAAAGAAAACAAAAGGCAATCTTTCATTTCATCCTTTATTTGAACATCAAATAGGTTGAGAAAATGTTTTACAGGTGCTAAAGCATCCTGCTGGATTCTTTACTTTTTCAAGGTGCAAAAGAGGTTTACAAGTGTGTTTCATTAAACAAAGCAAAGCTGCGACAAAATGGAATCACATCAATAATGGTACGCATCAGCATGAGCGCATATCACTCCATCAAACACAATTGGGCATTTGAGCCTTTTCCCATAAAACAAGAGCTCTACACTGAAGAATATGTGGTGCACCAAAAGCATTGTTTATATCTGTGAGAGAACAAAAACTGGCTTAATGTCACTTATTAATTCAAGTCTCTATGACCAATGACCTCTCTGTGAACACAAAGGGGTCCGTGTCTTAGGCACCTGTTCATGGGACTAAATGTTATTTCCAGGGTGCACAGCTCATAAAAACACACTAAAGATGGGTTTGGTTGGGACATGGCAGCATTTACATATTTAAAAAGTTCAGGCACATTTGGATGCAAAAAAAAAAAAAAGGAAAGAATAGAAATTTTTCTTGAGTCTCTAAAAGACAGTGCAAAATTGAAGTGCCATAATAGAGGCAGCAATTATTAGAAAGTAATTTTAAATGACTTAAATAAAAGACCACACCTTAATTTAAATGGAAAAGAAATGCAGCTAGAAACAGCATAATCACACTAATGAAAAGATGGATATTTGGGACCACAGTTAAATTCATTTGCTCCAGTTAAGTGTAAGTAAATTTTCTGGGGATTTAATCTAGGGAGTGTGCAGTGTTATCTGGATCAACCTCCCAAGACTTGCATGGAAGAGAATCATGGTTGCCTTATGAGCTACTCTGTAACTCTATTTGCCTATCAAAGAACTAGTTTCCCCAAGCAGATCTTCCTGTAAATATATAGTCATTACTATGGTCCTAGTGATCATTCCCAGTATCCACAGTCCATCTCAGAGTTGCAAAGTATTAATAGGAAAGGATTCATAATTGGTTTCATGTAGCGATAGAAGTCTTCTAAACCAATGGCCTAAATCAAGGGCCATTTCAATGAGTAAAATTTTAAATACAGAACACCTCAATGTGATTAAGAGTAAATTATCAGTAAGTCACTTATTTATTCAGCCTCCAAAAGGCATAAGACATGGCATAGTTAAGCATATTTGCAAGACTACTAGGGAAATCTATCGAAGATTGCACTGCCTTATGGGCTGAATCTCACAATCTCCATCAATAGGGTCTTCTCTTTGGAATACCTAGTCTCCTTATTTCTGCATGATAGCATTACAGCATCATTACAGCAAGCTAGGCAGTGGGTAAAAGAAACTCAGACCCCTAACTATTCTTTGGACGTCACTGCTGATGCCACTTACTTCCCCAGAACTCAAGCTGCCATTTTGGAAATGGCTGTCAATGGAGCTAGTTATTTTTGGATTACAGTGCACAAGTAGAATACTGAAACTTGGTGCCAGAATACTTTCAATATTCTTATTCCCCTTTTTCCCATACATCAATCTCCCAAACCCACTTTCCCATCCTATCTGTATCCTCCAGGTAGATCATGTCTTTCAAACTTTAAATTGGCTCAAAGTGGGGGGAAAGGACAGGAAAAATTATTCAAAATCTACCCTATACTCTACAGCAACATCAGCTGGAAAATGTCAGCAGCTCATTATTGACACTTCAAATAAGGATAAAAAGAGATTTCCAAAATTGTTGAAACTCCCGGGCTAACATTTCAACCATCTAATGTTCTTGGCCCGTTTCAAATGTAGTAGTATCTTGACATGAATACAAACACAGTAGATGAATAATGTAAAACCCTCCACTGTATTATTGTTTGGATTTAGCTGGTATTACATCATCTATAGTCCTAGAGGTTTTTTTTTTTTTTTTTTTTTTTAAAAGAAAATCTCAGTATAAACATTAAAAAGAACCCACTGACCCATTAGCTACTGTCCAAAAATATTACTACTGATATTTTGGTAAAAGCAAAATTAGCTGCCCTGAATAATTTTCCTTTTCAGGCATAATCTCTGCTACATAAGATTGTCTTATCATTCAATATCCAACAATAGGCATGTGGATTAGTGCTATTTTGTCTACTGTGGATACAAAAGTTGATATGAAATGTGATCTTCATTTAAATGAATAATCACCAGGTTTCAGGCATCAATAACTGCATACATGACAAGGTAACTTGAAAAGTATACAAAAAAGCTAAATATTTTTCCTTGGTTTTTGCATGTTAACCCAGTCAAATTAAATCCAGAACAGAATCATTACATTCAATTGTCTGATAAACAAGCAATGCAATTTCAAAAAAATATATATCATACTATATAAGGTGCTTCTTAAACAAACAATAAAAGAATTATGTTCTTAAACATATTCTTAATGCAGATACGTAAAATTGCCCCCAAATTTAGATGCTCATATAAATGGAAAAAAAAATAATAATTTTTTTTTCTTGGCCCTCCCAGTTTCCCAGTCCTTTGGTAGAAATTTAACTGGGCAACCAGAAATTAATCAAACTTGCTTTTCCAAACAGGACATACCAAGAGAAGCCTAGTAGTTCTCCAGGGGTGTTGGCAAACATGTCACCTCTCAATGGGGTTCGAATTAAAGACTATGAAGTCAAGGAAGGAAATCAAACTTACTTCTTAGCTTAAAAAAAGGAAATAACCCACAATTGCATTAAAGAAGCAAAGGCCCCAATGCTGGTCTCCTCCTGGCTTATGAAGTTTTAGAACAGGAGATGGGGGGTGGGGCGGGGGAGGGGCTGATTTCTTCCCAAGGGCATGTGCAGTCTCACCAGCCCCCACAGCCTGAGTCCAGCGCTCCTGTCACTTCTCTCCTTCCCTCCTTCCCTGCCAGGAGCATGCTGTTCCAACTATAGGAACACAGCTATCCACTGCTGTTCTTCCAATGAGGGCCACTCAGAAAGCAAGAAGGGCAGACTACCCTGTGGACCCTAGAACAGCCCGCTGTGCACTGCAGGGTGGAGGGCCTGGGAGATGCATCCTGGGAGCTGAAGCCTGTGGCCATGCCACTCTGAGCAAGGCTGACCTTGCTTTACAGATTTATCCAGTTTCTCCCCTGCTTTCTTTCCTCTGGAGCAGCCACAATCATCATGCAGTGTTACTATTTAGCCCCATGCCCCAGGGCTAAAAAAAAAAAAAAAAAATTCAAACACCAGGAGGAAGCCGGCTCACTGAAACTCCCCTTTTTCCTGACCGGGCCTTACATGTTAAAATTCAGTGGAGCTCACACCAGGAAGATCCAAGTACAGCGCCCTCTGCTGATAAATAGGAGACCCCACCAAGACAGGTTCTGAAAGCTGTTTCACTGCAAGTCCTGGGGGCAGAGGGCTTGCTTCCATAAATAAAAATTAAAACAAAAAACTCAAGCTTGTCCCTCATACAGAGAGACTGATCTGTGTGGGGGTGACTTAATTGAAATCGACTTGCTGACTTCCCACAGGGCCTTGGGAAGCAAGAATTAGCCAGAACCCATGATCTGTATGTAGTGCTCTAGAAATACAACAGTAGAGATGTCAGCAAGTTGACATGATCTTGACAATCAGGGGGTCTTCCTTCCCTGTGTGTGTCTTGTATTCCTATAGGTGAAATGAATAGACAATCACTAAATATAATGCTACAGCCATGCAACAGAACAAAATGATAAAGGCATCACCTTAATAAAGTGACACATGACTATAGGAATACAAGAGGATGCTAAGGAACCCTTGAGCTAGCTTTCTCAATGTCATAGGTTAAAAGAGCCACTATCAATTCTTTCCTGAGGCTTTTTCTTGGAGCCATCACAAAGTGCTTATCAGAAGTGAAATGGCTACTCTCCAGGCCTGGGCCTCAACAAGTCTTTTCAAAGCACAGTCATCTCATAGGTTGAGTTCAGTCGCAAAGGGCTATGGGAATCCTCATTCTCAGTCAGGTAGCAAAGGGGGAAGAGAGCTGTTACCAAGAATTGGCCTTGGACTCCCTTTGGCTGTTCCTAACAGAAGATGTATCACTAAGAACTGAGCAAGCAAATGAACGGCCACTCATACTAGAAAGCCACTGGTGGTGGATGCATGCCTGGTGTGTGCAGGAGACAGAATTCCGCTAAAGTGACGCTTGGCTTGGGTAAAAAGCTGCAGGGATTCTCAGAGCTTTGGGAGAGGCCGAGAGCTCTCACATTGTGTTGGGGAAACCCTCTGCTTCCTGGGGGATGTAGTATGTCTGCAAGGAATGTGCTGAAGTGGAGCCCGTGGTGGCCAGCAGGCTCTGGCTAGACTCCTCTGGGGACCCTCCTCCACGGGTGGCTGGGGCGTGCAGGCGGTGGGCATCCAGCATCTCCAGCAGCAGGTCGTACAGGGGCACCACGTTCTTGCACTTCATGCTGTACAGATGCTCCATGCCCTTGTTGCTGGGGAGGGGGCACAGAGAGGACCACATTAGACACCAGCGGAGCCCCAGGACACCTGAAATTCCCAGGGGAAGTAAGAGGGACTCCAGGGACGCTTGTAAACCAGTCTTCCTTCCCATTTAAAGACCCATCTTTGGACGGCACCTGCAGAAACCTGAGGGCTGCTGAGACCCCAGTCTGGGACTTATCTTCATTTGTGTTTCATTTTCCCATCCTACAAGGGCAGTCCCACCCCCCCACCCCCCCACAAACCCACTCTCTCTCCAGTCACTTCACTGACAGTGTACTGTTTACGCAGGTGACTTTCTTCTACATCCTGGCATGAGACCCCATTCCCCTCTCTCACCTTTACATGTAAAAAGAGAACAGAAGAGGTACAGCCAGGCAGGAGTGAAACTATGATATTTGAAGCTGTTCAAGAAGCTTCCTTGCTTAAACCTCTCCATGGCTTCCCAGCAAACTCAGAACAAAACAGAAATTTCTGTCCACACTCTCCAAGGCCCAAGTGACCTTCCTTGTCCTCCTTCATGGTGCTCATCCTGTCTTCTGTCCCTAACTCACACTCCTTAGCCACACTGGTTTTTGTGCTGTCCTGTAAAGGAACTAGGATCCTCCTAGATTTAGGGGCTCTGCACCTGCCAATCTCTCTCCCTGGATGTACTTCCCCAAATCTTCAAATGTCACCTCCTCTGGGAAGTTTCTGCTACCCCCGTGGCACGAGGCCCTGGCCCTACAGTCTGAGCTGCTCTCTTCTGAATTGTTCCGTCTTCCTTCTTACAGTTAACACAACCTGGAATTCTCCTGTGTGCTCATGTGTGTTTATTCCTCCCCCCACACACACAGACACACACTCCACACAGACACACACACACACACACACACACACACAACCCAGCATAGTACAAGTTACAGGAGGAGAGGATCTGTCCATCCTGTCATCTACCATAGCCTAGCACTGTGTCCGGAACTTGGTGTCTTGCAAACGGGGGTAAATCGGCAAGGGGAACATAGGCAAATGTCACTCCTCTCTGTCACATGCCCCTTCTCTACCCTCCACCAGCCACCTCTCTGCTGTTCTCACCACAGCATGAGGTGGGAGAGGGCTGCAACAATGACTATCTAGCTTGACATTTCTTAAGAAAGAAAATATGTATCATGAGGAGACAGGACCAAAAAAATGTCCTGGAAAATATTTGCAGTGTTGGGGGTGGGGCGAGGGGGACGCAAGCACAGATTGGGGTCCTGCCATGGAAACCCAGCATCAGAGTCATCCAGGTCTACAGCCCAACCTAGATGAGTGTTATTTTGTTATTGTTTTGCTATTTAATTTAGATGCCGTTAAATGCCCCCTGGATCCGCCACCATCTTGCTCATGCAATGTAATGAATCACATTTACAGTCAGATGAAATCTGGTGTTAAATTCTTTGAATAGCAGCATATGGCTGGAGCCACGCTTGACAAAACAGAGTTCTGGGACTTAGATTAGCTGTCGTGAGGCACCAAAATATTATTTTGTATATGTGAATGAGTGAGAGAGACAGAGGGGTATGGGAAGGGAGGGAGACAGGGAAAGAGAGAGAAGAAGAGAGAAAGAGAGTGAGGGGGTGGGACGCTCAAAGCTTTCAATAAAACAACATCTTTCTCTAGTTTTTCACACAATTCCTAAAGAAATTCTAACAGAGCTTCCACTCTGCTGTGCCCAGTAAAATCAGCCAGGGCTGGATGTCTAGTGCCAATATACTTGATATTAACCAGTTCAGCTTGCTAATGCTGTCAGGCTGTTAATGAATTTGAATAGTCATCGATTCCTATCAACAAATAAACACATCCATGGGGTGTGGGATTTCTATAACATGCCTGAAATTCCTAGCTCAAAGTAAAAGACAGTCTGTTTTCTTCCAGGTAAGGTTATTGTCTACACTAGGTAATCCGGCAGGATATATGATATTCTGAGCCATTTTTCTGCTTCTTTCTCTAGGAGGCTCATCAAAAGGCAAAGACAGGAAAGGGTTGGATTGTTTACCCTGGTGCAATCACCTACTGTACCTGGCAGTGTGAGTCCTTCATCTGCTACACAGGGATTCTTGGGGAATCCTGAGAACAGAGATTGTAATCACTTTCTCCCAACTTTCCCAAGTGGAATTCTTTACTTATGAATTTCAGATTCATAGGAAGGGGAAAACCTATCAGGATTCATTTGTTCACTGATTCATTCTCTCATTCATTCATTCACTTGGTTATAATTTTATGAGCACATTTTGTATGTAAGTATTCATCTACAGCACTCTGGGGGATATAAAGGGAAAAAAGGTACTTCTCTTTTATCAAGAATCTAACAATTTTGCAAGATTGTCTCCAGAAAGGAGACAACTAGGACTTTGATGGGAAAAACTTCTTGCCATTTGAATCATACAGCTAAAGATTGAATGAAGGTCCCTTGAAAATGAACTATTTCCACTCCCTCTAAACATCTTGGTCCTTTCCTCAAAGATACCTCTTTTTGATTCCTAGGGTCCTTGTATAAGTTCAAGATCATGCAGGTTTTATCACCCATGGTACTTTTCTCTAGTGCTATCATTTCATATCATTGTCATTATCGTGAACTTTCTGGAGTCTGTGATAAAGAATCCATATTTTCTTCATCTCTTCCTTGCAGGCTGAGCTCTACCTATGAGAATGGCATCCCCTAAGCCTGTTAGCAGCCAAGTTTCATGATTCTTTAGAAAAGAAATGAGGCTACCTTTACCTTTTGGCATAAAGAGATTCTATTTCCTCTGTAAATAATATTCACTGCATTTTACTATGTGCTTAGCACTGTGCTGGGTTGTGTAGGGTATACAGGGTAAGACAAATTGTGATCATAGCCTCACAGAGTTTACAGTCTATTTGGGCAGGAGGTTAATGAAATGGGCAATAACAATTAAAAAGAACAAGTCTAAAGGGTCAGGACATACTTTCCAGAAAGGAGAGAGATCTACGTGATGACAAGTTTGAGTACTATTTAGAAATATTCACACACACACACACACACCCTTGCCACCATGTGTCCATGATACTTGACTTTGGGTTCACCACCTGACTTGGTTGGCTAGGGGAATGTTAATGGAAATGATGCACTTGCCCAAAAGGGCTTGCTTCATCTGCCTCTGCCCAGCACACGTCAACCTGTGGGTGCAAGGAAGATGCACCAGACACATAAAGCTGTCAGCTGGCCCACCTGCAGGGCTGCAGCTTGAAGCAGACTCTCCCACCTGTGCCCTACAGATGTGTGAGTGCATCCAGCTGAGATCAGCAGAGCTGCCTGGCCCATCTGCAGCCTGAGGTGCAGGCTCCCAGAGGACATAGAGAGCAGCTTACTATGGAGGCAGGGCTCAGACTACAAGGAGGTCCCTGTAAGTTAAGTAGGGCTGGACCACAAGGAGTAACATAAACAAAATGAAGGGATTTATATAACTTTTATTTAAAAGCAATGGGAAGCCCCTGAGAGGTTTTAAGCAGGGAGATGACATGATCAGATTTGGTATAAGAATGATCACTCTGGCTACATCATGCAGGATAGTTTGAAAGGGTCAAGATTAAAGGCAGACAGACATGTTAGGTGGCTGGTACAGAAAGGGCAGTGGAAATGGAATGGAGATGACAAGGAGGGGTTAAGGAGCTATGCAGAGGTCAAGGTTGACCCTCCATCAGGCATCTTAACAGTCTGTCATTTAGGATCTCTGAGTGTAACTCAGGGGAGCTTGGAAGGGAGCAGGAGGGATGTGCCCCCTCAGGAGAGGGGCTTGTGCTGACTGACTTGCTTTGATTGGCCTCCTCCCCCACCCATAAGACCTTGCACATGCTTCCAACCCAGCACACACACCACACTCCCTATGAAGCGTTCTCCAACACTTGCCCCGTGCCCTAGGCAGAGCAACGCCTCCCTCCTCTATCCTACCATAGCATGCGAGCTTATTATACGCCCAGAACTGTCTCAAGGGTGCTCTCCATATATAGGCAGTGGCCCTTCCTGAGCCAGCTGTCACACAGGGCTGAGGCAAGCTTCCTTTAGGTCTCTCCCAGGGGACCCCATGGATGACTGACCTCATGTGCCGGATGTGGGAGAGGATGAGCAGGAGCTGGGCCAGGCGCCGGTGCTGCTGCTGCAGGGTCAGGCCTGCCTTGGCCATCAGGTGGATCAAGGTGTCTGTGATCTTGTCAAGGACCCGGTGGATATGGTCCTTTTCTTCCAGAGACTTCAGGGTGCTGGACAGAAATGTGTATACTCCTGAATGTGCACAGAAAGAGAGACTCAAAGAGTCTTGGAGACTGGAAATGTCCATGAGACAAAATAGTGAGCCAGAGCCCATTCTGGCACAGCAGTACAGCAGTAGGAACATTCTGGAACCATTTAAGACCAAGCAACTCCATGAAATTCCTAATGAACATGCAAGTCTGGGAGCCGCCAGAAACCAATATGGCCCCCTGTGCCGGAGTCAAGATTCCTAGGATAGAACTGTGAGCACTGGGGATGTGGGACACTGGCCACCCTTCTGGGATCTATCTGACACCAGTGTGAACTGTCCATTTAACACCAGTGTGAACCACAACCCTGTGGGGAAGCCACTATTGCTTCTTTTCAGGGCAGAGGGATGCTCTGACCTGCTACCAAGCTTGCACAGTAGGTGCAAAGCTTGGATAGCACAGCTGATGATGAGAAGGCAGACTCTAGGAGACCTGGTGGTTGCTTGGCTAAGTGACTGGAAGGTGGCCTTCCAGGTAGGATTTGCTTTGCTTCTGTGTTTCCATTGAGATGTGGGGCCTAAGCCCTTTTCAGTGTCAGCTGATGGTTTAGGATAAGGGTGAGTGCAGAGGATCTTGGAAATAGCTGTTTCTACTCCAGGTAACCCTCTCTTGCCTTTCTCCAGCTCTCTGTGCCACAGGTAGGGTCAGGACTGCAGCTGAGACCATCATGCACTCCATTCTGGACAGCACCAGTCCTGAGCTAGACAAAAGAGACCCTTTCTGGATTTTTTTTTTTTCTTATGTTTGAGTTCAAATCTAGGGCCTTGCTTACTCTGGACAAGAACTCTGTCACTGAGCCACAGCTACAGGATACCTCTCTTCTGAGGTTGTACATGAAGGTTGTAAGCTAGAAACCCCTTCTTCTAGGGTTGCTAAGCTAGGAGATGAGAATGCTGTATAGAGCTTTAAATGGCCCTCTTTCTAGTACATGGAGCTCTGATCTGCAGAAGGAGCTTTACAGCAATAAGCAGAGTGGAGAGAGAGAGAGAGAGAGAGAGAGAGAGAGAGAGAGAGAGAGAGAGAGAGAGAGAGAGAGAGACTCTATTCAGTCACAAGACCCTAGTTCTTATATAGTTTTCATTTGACCTTTGAGCTTTCATAGTATCCTTCCTAACATGTGAATCAACAAATTCTCTCTTTGCTTAAGATAATGGGAGTTGAGTTTCTGCCACTTTCAACAGAAAGAATCCTTACTGTTCCAGTAAATTTTGAGCTGAGCCCCAGCACAAGGTGGGGAGGGTTGAGGAGTATTAAGAAGGGCTGGATGGAATGTGCTTGTCTTGGGACCACAGATTTTCTATCAGCTAAACCTCCAGAAATAAGCACTTCCTGCTCAATCACACTATCTTATAGGGAGTAGAAGGCACAGAGATTTTCTCCTAGTTATGAGTATGTAGCACTATTTTTTAGCCTCCCTTCATTCAGCTCACTGGCCATCTCATGACTAACTTCTCTTCCCCTCCTCTGTCCTCACCAGCACCTTCAAATTAAAATCTTCCTAGTTTGCAGCCCCCAACTTAATACTGTTTAAATGTAATTCAAAAGTTACTGCCCATGCAGCAATCTGTGGGTTGGGATTAAAGAAAACACCTCCTTAGAGGAACTTATAGTAAACAGAGTTGTAATTGCCCAGAATAGAAAATGGCTAAGGTTTAAAACAAACAAAACAACAACAACAACAACAAAATAAGAGTGGCTAGCATGCCATCAAATACCATCAAGGCATTTTTGGTACCTGGAGGCACATGGATCCAAAATAAACAAAGCACATAATAAGCAAGCAGCAGACAGGTAGTGGGATAAGAAGGAAATTTCAAAATTCCTTCACTTACATTTCATGTGGGTCGTTGACAGAGAAAGAATGTGTCTATCAGAAAAATGGGCAATGTCCAGTAGCCATGGGGTTGGATTGGACGCAGCACGTAGCATGGAGATATGCAAGGGTAGGTTGGGGTCAGGGGTGGCCCTGGCTAAGCTCCCCATGGGCTCTGCCTCTCGAGATCTGTCCTTTATGTCATTATCCACAGTCCAGCTTCATCAGCTACAGGTCCTGCCATGGACTGGATATCCTGGGAACCCACCCAGGCCACAAGGCTAAGTCAGTCCAACTTGAATGATGCAATTTTTACCAGTTTCCGTTTCTGTTACCACCCAGGATACTGGCCTCATTCACCAATGACCCCTTTCTTGTTCAAGAGAACCCAGAAATGAGGGTCAAACAGCACAGAGGGTCCTGCTTGACCCCTGGTCTTCACTTCTCCTCCTACTGTGGGCTCAGTAGCAAAGACACACTCTAGACCCTCACCAGTCCCGGGGGCCAGCATTTCACGAAGCACTTTCCAGTGGAGGTAAAAGAGGCAGCACCCAGGCTTGAGCAAGTCAAGTTTTCTCATGAGCATGGCTGCATGGGTTTCTTCATCCAGCAAGTAATAGCTGAGAACCTATTGTGTGCATCACTGTGCTCTTTGATAGGGATTCCATGCCTTATTTCCTTTCAAGTGTTAATATTTTAAGAGCAGATTTTGCCTGTGGAGAGAGGATTTTCTTAACAGTGACTCTCGAGATGTGGGCCATTCTCAGAACAAGCCTGTTTTTCCAGTCCTGCTCTGGCACCAGTACAGCTTATCATCTCATCCTTGTCAGCAGATGCTTCCTAGCTGTGCAAATATACTTAGAAATAAAAATACAGCCCTGTAAAAATGCCAATAATTGACAACAGCAGCCATCATCTTTTGGGGCCTTTCCAGCAGAATGTGGTCCATGTTTGCTGCCTATTGCCTTAAGGAGCCGTTTGAGAAACAAGAGCAATCCAAATTCCCAGAATGCTTCAGGTTCACTGGCGACCACTGTCAATGAGCAAGAACAAAGCAGGGCTGCTGGTAAGGCTGCTCCATGGCTCCCTGCAGCAGGAGCCAGTGAGCAGACACTGAGAGCCTTCGGAGTCTTGCAGCAAGGCAGACTGTTGCAACTCTGGAGATGGGTCCAAATCCGGAAGACAGAGCAGAGGAGAAAAGAAAGAGCACTTGTATGTCACTGCCCATGGTTGGTTGGCCTGGTAGGCAGATCTGAGATTCTACATACTCTGAATCTTGCAGCCACCATTGAGAGATTTAGAAAAAGTCTGTGGGAAACACGCTGGTAGAGAAGAATGGAGAGTTCAAACACACAGAGACCCCCATGCGCAAGAGATCTTGACTTTCCTCTCCTGTTCTCTGGATCTCATGAATTGGATTCTGCTCTCGGGCACCTTCTCTCCTGCATAGACACCTCTTCCTGTTTCCCTTTCCATCTTCACCCCATGCAATCTCCTCCTTATTCCTCAGCTCTTTTCTAGATAGTAGTGGCTTCTGGAAGCTGGGGGAAGGTAGGCTTGGCTCTGCAGCACACAGGTGTCTGTCTGCCACTGGCCGGAGGAAGCACAAGTAGCCCCTGGAGTCCCCAACTTGCCCTGCCATTGGCCTCCACTGGGGGGCACTGTAGTAGAGAACTGACCAATGCGGGTCCCTGGCTTACCAGCTGCTTGAGGACAAATTCTTCAAGCAAGGCCACATTCCCTTCCCTTCCCCTTTTCCAAAAGGAAGAATGTGACAATAGGCCCTGGGAGAGTTCTTCAGTCTATGGCATCTTGATAAAAGAGGGAATGGGAGGGGGAATGATTCAAAGGGAAAAAATAGCAAAGACTAAGTCCACAGCTGTCAGTGATCTGGGCCAGGACACTGTCACTGGGCTTGGATGAGGAGGAATGCCCAGCATTCATCGAGGACCCTGTGATGAATCAGCATGCTGGCATTTTTGGGTTTCTGCAGAGAACTGTTCCCACAACCAAATAACCAAATAGAGTGTTGGCTCAGAAGTGACTTTGAGGCCCAATGGCTTGATGACCCACACTTGTGGGCTTCGCCTCTGCTACCATTCTTCCTGGGGGTGGTCCTGTCCCTGGTGGAGTCTTGGGACAACTCATGGTTGCTGCTGCCACTTGGTGGCAGGGGCTGTGCTAGATGTCCTACAATGTGCAAGTCAGCCCCAGACAAACAAGGATTTTTTCCAATCTCTACGCCTCTTGAAAGTCCTACAATAAAAATTATTGCAAATAGAAATTTGTAAGAAAAAAATTTGAGAAATGGGCTGGGAGTGTAGCTCAGTGGTAGGAAACTTGCCTAGTATGGGCAAGGTCCTGGGTTTCATCCCAGCAACAGACACAAACACTCACACCATTTCAAAAGCTTTCACAGGCTGTACTTAAAAGTCTAGTACACAAACTGGTTTATAGAGAGAGAAGATTAAGCAGAATGCATATTCTCAAATTATTAAATAACTGATTCTCTTTATGCAGTCTGTCAACTGAGGGCATTGTATAAGCTTTCCATGTGCACATTCAGTTGGATGACTTCAGGGCTACTCTGCAGATACTACAAAAAATAAAACCACAATTGGTTGTGAATATATAGAGAGGAGATATGAGACTCTTCTAAGCAAAAGTAGAACAGATGATTGTAAAAGAGTAAACACCAGTGGAATATTGTGTTATTGCCTCCTATACATTTTAAGTAATTTTATAATATTACTTATAAAGGAATCCATTTTGTGAAAAGTACATATTTAAGATATTTGGGGATTCTTATTCTTTCTGTCTTATGTTGGCACTGTTTCCTGAGTTTCCCATGTACTTCCTGATACCTCCTCTGTGTTTGGCTGTTACTTTTTCCAATCTATCATCTCTTCTCCATTGCCTAGCCAAAGGATCTAGTCTCTAAGGCCTTTTCAAGTTTAAGAGACTGACTGAATATCTGCCTTGAATGTAGTGGGATATTAGGATATGTTTCTCAACATCCCAATGTATCCCATTATCCTAGCCTATTAAGATAGGAGAGTTGGCACTTTCTCATCCTGCATCATAACAAAGGAAATCACTTTTTTTCCACCTTTTTATTGGTGCACTATAATTATACATAATGGTGGGATTCTTTAATACATATTCATACA